ACTGGGGGAGCTTTCCAGGTCCCTGCCAATCAACATTCTGTGATTCTGTGACCTCCAGAGGTCCCATGAAAATACATCCTATTATGAAGCTAATTCTGCCCTGCTCGGCCTCAGTGCTCTTTGGGAACATGCAGAGCACTTGCCTGGTGTATTTACGTGTTCCCTCCCCTCTGCCCTCAGCGTTTACCCAAGGAGAGCCTCTACAGCCCCCCCATCATCATCAAAATCATCGACAACCGGCCCTTCGGCCGCAGGCCCGTGGTCGGGCAGTGCACCATCCGCTCGTTGGAGGACTTCTCCTGCGACCCATACCGGGAGGACACGGATGGTCCCCAGGAGCCCTCAGGTACGGCACGAGGACCAACCTGTGCCCTTCTCCAGGAGGGGCTGTGGGTCGCTGTCCCCGTTGCTTTGAGCTCAGCTGTGGCTCTGGTACAGGAGATGCCAAGGAGGAGTTTAGCTCCTTGGTTTGAGTGGTGAAGCTGGGCTGTCCCATGTCCAAGCTGTCCAACCCTCATGGACGTGAGCTGTGGCTGCTGGGAAGGCTCTGGGCAAGGCTGAGGTCTCTCCTGGAGCTTGGGATCGGCATTGGGGTTTCTGGATGCCCTCCTCATGCTGGTGCGTGCTCTGCTTGCAGATGATGTGAGCCTGACGCCCCGGGATGACGTCCTGATTGACATCGATGACAAAGAGCCTCTCATCCCTGTCCAGGTATGGAAAGAAGTCGCTGATTTCTTCCTTTGTGTGATACGGGAGAACTTGTGTGGGTACGGGGCTGGCGTGGGGAGTGATGCAGACCCCTGATGTGAGGTCGGGGCTGGTTTTAACCTTCCTTTTGCCGCTCCCACCTCTGTTTTTGCTCCATCTCCTCCACTGTGCTACAAGGAACAACCACGAACTCATCCTTCTTCCCTGTGTTTAATAATGAGCCATCAGATTTGCTTTTCTGGCAGACACAACAGACACTCTCCACGCCAGGCTTTTCTTCCCTCAGCGTCTCTTCCCCAAATATTTGGTTTGGTTTGAGGCTGCAGAAGGTTTGCAGTCATCAAGGATGAATGTGTTGGTGCTGTTGCAGAAAGCAAGCCTCTATGTGCCATGAGTTTGGGGGGTCTCAGCTGTCCCGTGTGGATGGGCCAGGCTGGGCACACCACCAGGGTTGAAGCTGGAAGGTGTCTGGCCATACTGGTGTCACTGGTCATACTGGTTCTTGGTGTTTCTATGGGCAGTAGTTGTGTGCTCTCTGGGGCAGAGACCCCTCAGTGCTGATGTGTGTGTGAGGTGCACAAATCTGTAGTGACCCTGATGGCTCAGGAGCAGCTGGAAGTGTTGTCAGTGGCTTTTGGTGGAGCTTTCCACGGTCTCCTGTTCCCTTTGGTGCATTTAATGTATGCTGGCGTTTCCTTCCTCCCTGTTTTGAAGGTTGTGGGTGCTGAGCTTTGTGTAAAGGATCTGCCTCTTGGGTATCACAGAGTGTTTTGGGTTGAAGGGACCTTAAAGATCATCCAATCTAACCCCTGCCACGGGCAGGGACACCCAAAACCAGCCCAGGCTGCTCCAAGCCCCAGCCAACCTGGCCTTGGGCACTGCCAGGGAGGAGGCACCCACAGCTTCTCTGGGCAGTGCCTCTTGCCTTGCATTTCACTGCCCATAAAAGCCAGATGTATAATTTAGGTGTCAATGCTTCTGCTCTTTATTAATTTCTTTGTCCCAAGCACTGCTGGGATCCAGGTTGGTGCTTTTGGGGTCACCTTGCAGTGAAGCTCATCAAACGAGTTGGCTTTTCGGGTTCCCCAGCAGCCAAGAGGTGGGACATTGGTGTGCTCAGCCCCTTGGGATGCTGGTGTCTTGTCCTGCGCTGCTTTAGCATCGATTTGCAGCTGGACACTGGAGTTTGGGAACATTGGCCCAAGTGAACAAGTGTCTTTGAATGGTAAAAAGCAGCTCCAGACAGAAAATAACCACTGACAACCTCATTGGCTTGCTGCTTGTGGCTGCCCCAAAAGCCCTTCCTGAGCCTGCAGGTGATCCTGGGTATCTTCTCCTTGATGGTTGCTCCCCTAGGCAGCTTTTTGGCAGTTTGAGCGCTATTGAAAAGCATCTGCGAACTTGGATCAAATCTGGGGAGCTGTTGAAATGGGAGGTGAAAGCAGGAGAGGTGGAGAGGGACGTGGGGAAGCCAAAACACTGCTGCAGCAGCCTCAAAGTGGAAGATTTCCACGTCTCTTTACTGAAACAAACATTTCGCAAACAAAACACCCTGATGAGTTGAATTACTCAGTTTGACCCCAGATTACTTCTCCTCTGTTTGTTTGTTTGTCTTTCAATTTGCCTTTTGTTTGGGGAGCGGAGGAGGAGGGAGCTCGTTCCTGGAAAGCCAAACCAAAATTCCCCCCACCTCCCTGCCTAACCTCCAGGTTTTGGCCCTGGATGCTGTCCCTCCCATCTCCTGGTGTCGGACATGAGTTGGGGTGACTTTTGCCGTGGTGGTCTGACACCCCGCAGCCATCGGGGCCAGGTTTGGAGGGTGAAGGAGTCGTCTCATTCCACATGGGGTCATGCTACCCCTTCTCCTTCGGAATGGGGATGGATTTTGGGCCAGGAGCCCGTGCCTGGGGCCTTGGTCTCCGTGTTGCTTGTTCTTCCCGTGGTGACCTTGGATGCAGGACCCAGGGGTGTTCCTGCCCGTGCATGTGTGCATGGGTGTGTTTCATTGTGTGGCTCCAGATCCCTTCTCCTTGCCAAGCCTGGCTCTGGTCCCCCCTCTGATGGATGAGGGGAACAAAGGCTCACTTTGTGGTCCTCATCTGAAACAGAGCAAACAAGCAGAGGCCAAGCCCCTCTGCTCTGAGGTTGCTGAGTGCGCTGCCCACCTTGTCCAAGCAGGGTGAGAGGTTCAGCCTGAGGTCTGGCTAAAACAAGCCTGTGTGCACATGAGCTGGAAACGTCGTGCTTACCCAATGCAAAGAAAAGCAACTCCTTAAACACATAGAAAAGCAATTTTTTCTGTAGCCAGGTCTCCTGGGTTGAGCCTTTCTGGTTTGTTTGTTCTCTTCTCTGGGAGGTGCGCATGGAGATGGGTTTTGCAAGGGCTGAGATGTGCAAGTGGCAGCTGGATCAGCTCTTATTCCTGCCTGCTTGGCACTGCAGCCTCCCCTTCTTCCCCGTGCTCTTTCCTGGGTCCTCATCCCCATGGGGGGGTTGGACCAGATGATCTTTAAGGTCCCCTCCAGCCCAAACCATTCTATGGGAGGCAGGTCAGCAAGGACAACCATGGGGTCCATCTGCAGCCCCAAGGGGTGAGCAGATACTTGTTCCTTCTGCTCGCTGATACACCAGCCACAAAGGAGCTGTCTTCCAGCCGCCGCCAAGAGCTGCATGGGTGTCCTGGTGGGACCTGCGTCTGGGGGGAGCTTTCACCCAGGAAGCAGCTGTAAATTCAGCATTTTCAGCTTGACCCAAGGTCTGATGCAGTCTGGTTTGATGGGGTCAAAAGAAGAGCATTTGGGGAGCAGCCCGAGCTGGCGAGCAGGGGTAGAGCTGTTGGGCTTGGCCTGATGCTCAGAGCCAGCCGATTTCTGGTGAGAACATCTCATTTCTCCATCTTGAAGGAAACACAACTCGCAGGGCAGAAGCAGGGCAGGGGTGGGTGACAGCAGCTGGGTACAGAATGGACCGAGAGCTGGGTGGTGGGTTTTTTGGGTGCAGAATGGACTGGGAGCTGGGTTTTGGGTTGGTTGGGTGCAGAATGGAGTCGGAGTTGGGTGCTGGGTTGTTTGGATGCAGAGTGGACTGAGGAGAAGGGCTTGGGGGTGTTGGTTGAGGAGAAGCTCAACATGACCCAGCAATGTGAGCTTGGATCCCAGAAAGCCAACCATGTCCTGTCGGTGTCCCGAGGAGGAGATGCTGTCCTGCACTAAGAAATATTAACAGCTTTTCTGTAATGTGTTTTTTTGCTGCAGTTTCCCCTTAACACCCCATTTATTCTCTGCAACCCAGTCTCATTTGGTGAACATCAATGAAACCCCAAACCCCTCGTCTGGGGACACCTCAACCTTATAACCCAGGGGAGGGGGAAGGCAGCACCGTTTGGGTTAATCTGTTTTATTTCTCCTGAATTGTGCTTTTGCCGATGTTATGTTGAACATTGTTCCTCTAACCCCATCGATAACCGATCATTTTAATTTGTAGCTTGCGGAGGGTATGACCAGCTCAGCACTAATTAACATACCAGCTTCTCGGGCCCAGCCTCATGTATGTATTGCTTAATTTCTAACTTAACTTGCTTGATGAATGGGTTTTGTGAATGACAGTTGTGTGCATGTATGTATTTTTAAAGATCTGCAAAAACGGAGGCATTTCTTTGTCTAAAATACCCCCTTGCTGTCATAGAAACATGGCAATTCCATCTTGCTACAGATGCGTGTGCATTTTAACAGTCATTTTACATCATGCCAAGGAAAAGGGAGGTCGATGGCAAGTCCTAGGCATCACCTTGGTATAAGTTGAATTGAGAAGGTGTTGGCCTTCATGAGGAGGAGGATTTCACCCCAAGGAAGGTTTCATCTCATCAGCAGGATCTTGCACGGTCCTGGTTCTTGCAGGTCTGCATCCTCCAAGTGTTGCAATGGGGCAGATGCCAGACAGCACCCGAGCAGGGATGGGTCCCTCTTGCTTCCTTTGTGTGTTTTTCATAAGAAAACCAGATGTTGGGGTGTTTCTGGGTGTTGTAAGAAGAGCAATGAAGTGGTCTTCACCCCCATCAGATCCCTCTTGATAGCAGCCCATGACTTACAGGGCACGGGCTGTTCCTACCAGGAGCCGTGCTCGTTCCTCCCATGTTTTTCAGGCCAGAATTAATTGAGTTGCTTTCCTCTTCCTGGCTGCAATGAGCGGTGAATCCTTCCCATCGGCCAGAGCGGTGGGAACACCTCAGGTCTGGGGTGTGAAACACTGGTGAGTCAGCCCAGACCTTTGGGAGGATGTCATCTCGGAGGTGTTATTTGGGAGGAAAAGCCTCCCTTTGAGGGCTGACCTTGTGAGATGGAAGGAAAGACAAAAAAAACCCTGAAAACAGAGTGAAAATGGAGTAAGAGGTGGGTTGTAGCTTCATGGCAGACGTAATTTTTGCATGCAGAAGCCCCTGATGGGCGTCTTTGTAGGCCTTGGTGTAGGGTTGGAGGCATGTCTGATGTGCAGCCTGGCTCGGTGATATATAGGTATGTTTTATACAGTCTATCTATAATATATAGATACAGATAGAGATGCTAGAGATGCTAGAGATGCTAGACAGGATATAGAGATGATATAGAGGATAGAGAGGATATAGAGATGATAGAGAGGATATAGAGATGATAGAGAGGATATAGAGATAGAGATATAGATATATAGAAATAGATTATAGATATATATTTGTTTTGCACAATCCATCTATAATATATAGATATAGATATCTATAAATTAGATACATTCATAGATGTAGTATAGATATAGATACATAGAATCATAGAATGTATTGAGTTGGAAAGGACCTTTAAAGATCATCAAGGCCAACCTCCCCTGAAGTAAGCAGGGATAATGTTACTAAATCAGGTTACTCAGAGCCTCATCAAGCCTGACCTTGAATATCTCCAGGGATGGGGCCTGTATAGATGTAGAAGTAGATGTAGATATAGATGTAGATGATGTAGATATACTATAGATAAGTTTTA